GTGGGCAACAGCATATTCTGTCTGCAACGAAAAATGCCAAGTAAAGAAGACATCCTTAAGCAGCTGGGCAAGCCAAGGAATGAAATGGACAAAAAGTTGGCTTCATGCTCTCACAAAGTACTTAAATGGTGGATGAATATAAAGAGGAAAAAAAGAATATAAAGAGGAAAAAGACATGTTCCAAGGTGGGGACTTGAGAAGAAGAAAAGAGAATTTACAGGAAATTACTTTCATGTTACACCATGTATTTGGAATTATCTGGATGGGTTTGCAAAAAACAAAAAATCCAAAAACTCTATCAACCAACCAACCAAAAAAAAAAATCTCCAAACAAAACCCTAGTATCTGTTTATTAAGAGCAAACAGATCTGAATCCCTCACAGCAGTGATGCAGATCCTGAGAGGATGTGGGACGCATCAGTGACATTATTACAAAGAGAGGAGCACACAGCACATGGCAGGAACAGAATTCTAGGCCCAGGAGACACAAGAACATATATGACAATAAGTAAGGAGTGGTGCAGCAGTAAAGTTGGACATCATAGTAGATAAATCTGAAATCTCTCTTCCCTTAATACCTTCTTAGGTCCCTTGTTTCAATAGGTAACACCATCCTTCCTGGAATCACTTTTACAGTATGCCTTTTCAAATCTTCAGAGGGAGAAATTCTTTCAGTGGTTCCAGAAAGCCCCATCACAAAATTAATCTGATATTTTATCAGCTCTAAATGTCTGATGATATTCACGTGTCCCCTTGAAAATATTTCTATTTTTACATTATTTTTTGCCTTCAGCATGAACTATTGCCTGAACAGTCATTTCTATTCATGTGGTTTACACTTTGTTGATTGCAAAGCCTGACACTTTTCCTTTGGAAATTCTCTGTTTTCATTTAGGTTTTCAAGGGAAACACATAATAGTTCTTGATTGAGGTTTCTTCACACTACCATATGGTGCAACAACAAAAACTTTGCTTAAATGAAGAGTCTGAGCTCTATCATTCCAGAGTGGGTTAGGCAACAAAAGTGTGGGAAATGACTGAACTTTCAACTGTCTCTTTGCATAAGAATACACACATCCAGAGCAGATGATGTGGTAGAGCAGGGATATAGCAGTTATATTTTCTATGAGGTGAAAGAAACTTGCCACCTCATGACTTTTGATATACATTTTCACTTTCACAAAAACAACCAGTTGAACAACTAATCCAAACTAAAACCAAATCAAAGAAAACCGAAACAAACAAAAAAAAAATCCACATCCTTCAACCGAAACTTTCATAAGGATGCCCCAGAGATAAAAAGCTTTTCCTTAGAGAGTGTGGTAGCTTCTTAAATTTCCTCAAAACTATTTATGTGTGAGTTAACTTGTAAATGGGTGTTTTCATTTATGACTACCTGAGTAAGTATTAATGTTCAGCTTTGTGTTTGCCATTATGGGGAAAAAATATTTGAAGTTATTACAAAATATTTTAGACAAGTTAACATATTGTATCTATCTTCTGGTAGGTGAGCTTTCCAAAAGAGAAGTACTCTCTGCAGTTGCAATGACTGTACTGCTTCCTTTCATGACAGAAGAATAGGGAAATAATTAAATTCTCATCAACAGCAAAATCAACTAATAACACTTCTTGTTCAATATGTAAAAGTGGTGGAGAGAATATAAAAACTTCTACCCACATTCAACCCAACTGGCAACCCACTTGTGCCAAAATCCAAATGCAAGGAGTTCATAAGGGACAACAATGTGTCCCTACAGTACAAATAAAACAAAATAGTGTCTGGCCCCTCTTGCTTAAAATATGTTCTCCTATTGAAAAGAAATGCTATTTGAGTGTGTCAGAAATTTAATATCCACAGGAAGTGTTAATGTAGTAAAAAGTATTTTTAATGCTATTAAAGTGCTAGCCAAGTGGGAAAAGTAAACTGTGGAGCACTGAATTATCAAGGAAAGTTTTCTGGACAAGATTATGCTCTGACAGCCTCAATGTGATATGTATATCAAGATTTAGTGTCCATTTATTAGTTTCTCAGCACAGGAGAACCCTGTGGCTGCCAAACCTGAATCATTACTCTCATTTTTCATTGTATAATCAGTATGAAAGTGGTGACTACCTGGATATTTTCCTGGACATGAGGTGTTCAAACTAAGTACAGCTAGATCACCATTATTGCATCATTGACTGATTATCATTCTGATTAATGTCTCTTCTTTATTTTCATTCCCTGTACTGAAACAATGCATATGTCACTGAGTAATTATATCTAGTGCCTGTTTCTGAATTATGTCCTTGACATATGTGCCTTTGTCACTGCTCCTCTAACTTCACCCTGTGCCTTGCACCTTTACTCAAAAACAAATAAATTAACAGCTGATGGTGTTTAACTGACCTCAGAGTAAAAAATTGAGAATATTCCCCTTATTGCCTGCTATATGCAAATTTTTGCCACTATTGCATTGACCATTGAATTCTTCCCTCAAACAATCTGTCCAAGAATTATGTGTGTCGTGTTCCATATCAATAAAGATTCAAAATCTTCTTTCAGCTTGAACGATAGGAGCATTGATGTGAAAGGTTGCCACATACTTTGAGGCTGACTGAACAGGAAAATCATATGGTCAACCTCTCTGCTCGTGGGTTTTACACCATTTTGAAGGTCCGAGGTCACCTTTTCCCACAGCATCACTATCATTTTCTACAGTCAAATTTATCTCTATAAAAGGCAGAAAGGGCTTGATTTTCACTTGAATATGAAACTAAACCATTCCTGCAAATTTTAATATTATAGAGCACCCAAAACTCTTATTAAGAACTCACATCTGCAGTTGAATGAAGCGACCATTTTGACAGCACAGTGCTAACCCCCTGTAACACCTATCCTCCCATGATGTCCCTTGCCAATGTCTCTGCTGATTATGGCAGCACACATCTGTGGTCAGCCTGACCTGATAATCATTAATAATCACCAGAGTAGAGGGAATTAGCAAATTCTTTTCTTAGGAGGTGTAAAATACATAAATACTGCTAACATTATAGAATGCTGAAAAACATCCAATCTGCCAGAGTGACTCCAGAGTCTGTGAAATTCTCCACTGTACATTCCACTCTCATCATGACAACCCCCCTTTTGATCCAAAATCATGCAATTTCTACTCATTATATTGAAAAGATGACATTTCACTGTTCAGTGAAATAACTCCAGCAAAATTTGATCCCCAGTTCAAATATTTTCATTTCAGAAATGCTGGTCATAAATCCAAAATAGCAAAAATCTATTATGAGCTTAAGCTGTCAGATGCTAAATTTCATTTATATTTAGAGACATCCTTCCTTTTGGGTTCATTTTGAAAGGAAGGACAATGTTGAATAAACAACTCATGGGCACTAGTCCACAGATGGAAGATAGAAGGTGGAGTCACCCAAAAGTAACATCCTAGGTATCACTGTACATCTGTTTTAGTATTTTAATTTAAAAAGAGAAGACTGACAAGATGAAGAAAAAGGCTTGGCAGAATCAGGGTAAAACCCCTTCTGACATGAATGCTACTTGAATCTTCAGCATGGAGAAATTACAAGTTACAAAGACAGAGCAGTGGATAATCATTTATTTCAGTATTAAACAAACAGATCTAATTACTTTTGTATTTTGAAAGCTCTTTTATATGAGGGGAAAAATAAGGAGAGGGGAGAGGAGGGAAGAAAAAAAATGAAGGGGGTTAAGATAGAAAAAGTCAGAGAAAGACAATATAAGTATTGCCTTAAGATTTTTTCCTATTTTAAGTTAAAAAAAAAAAAAACAAAAAACAAAAAACAAAACAAACAAAAAAACCAAACAAAAACAAAAAAACACCCCACAAATACCAACCCAAAAGCCAAAAACAAGCCTGAAGTTAAAATTCTAAAGTGATAAATAGCTGTAACTGGAAAAAGACCTTCATAAACATAAAATAAACTCCTAGAGATTACTGGAAGTGATTATTTCTTGCCAAAACTAAAACGTGGCTCTTCTGTCCCTGATATACTTTCCTAGATGTTACCATAATGAAGCCAATGGAGGTCCTGATGTCTGTGCATTAGGGATGGAAGAATTTCTGATAAATGTAACCTGCTTGCCTTGAATTGTGTTTGGGCAGTAATAGTGGCTCTTATCTGACATATTCCTGACAAACCTGTGATTTCTCCCTGCATTTGTTTTGCATGGTAAGCACTGGTGGGGCTGCAGGGGTGGCTTCTGTGAGAAGCTGCTGGAAGGTTCCACTGACCCTCATGGAGCCAATGCCACCTCCAGGGTGAACTCAACACTGGCCAAGCCAAAAAAATCGGTGACAGTGCCAGGATTTCTGCTATAATGTACTTAAGAAGGGGAAAAAATTAGCAAAAACTGAACATCAGCCAGCTTAAAATAGAGAATGTCTGAGAGGAGCATCCGTGCAGGCAGGCAGGGCAGTGCAGGAGGGGCAGGAGCTGCTCCAGGCTCTGGAGCTCAGATTCCCCTGCAGCCCCTGGAGCAGCCCAGGCTGAGGCAGCTGTGCCCCTGCAGCCCAGGGAGGGCACGGGGGAGCAGAGATCCACCTGCAGCCCTGGGGGAGCCCAGCCTGGAGCAGGGGGTGCCCAAAGGAGGCTGGGACCCCATGGGAAGCTGTGCTGGAGCAGGAGCTGTGAAGGACCCACACTGGAGTCAAATCCTTTTCCTGAAGGATGGACCCTATGGGGCGGACCCACACTGGAGCAGCTCATGCAGGACTGTCTCCCATGGGAGGGACCCGATGCTGGAGCAGGGGGAGAAGGTGAGGAATCCAGCACAGGTGGAGGAAGAAGCAGCAAAAACAACATGTGAGGGACTGACCATGGTCCCATTCCCCATGCCCCTGCAGTGCTGGGTGGGAGGAGGTTGAGAAGATCAGGAGTGAAGTTCAGTTAGGGAAGGTGCTACAATTGGGAGAATTGTTTTTAATTTTTGGGGGGGGCTTATTTCCTATTCTCCTTTTATTTGGCAGGCAATAAATTAAATTAATTTCCCCAAGCGGAGTCCATTTAGCCTGAGACAGTAACTGGTGAGTGACCTCTCCCTTTCCTTGCCTTGAACCACAAGCATTTTGTTGTATTTTCTCCAGCTGAGGAGGGGAGAGGGACAGAATATCTTCGGTGTGCGCCTGACATCCAGCCAGGGTCAACCCACCACAGCCCCTTTGTCCCTGGGTCAATTAGAGCAGCCTAAAGTGATTCCATGGGATTCTGTAGTGCTGGTAACCTCTTCCACAGCTTGGTGCCTCGGCCTGTTATGTTGGGGTAGAGTTAAAAAGCCAGCATGACCCGTGAGCACAGCTCCAGGAGCAGCCTCCACCACAGCAGCGAACTCTGCTCTCCATAAGGACATTGCCTCTGCTCCCATAAAAGACGACGTGCATTGCAAATGCATGCCCTAAGAAATATTAAAACCAATGCTGAATGCGCTTCTGGAAACTTGATATTTTCATCACATGCCATCTAAGCTAATACACTGCACTGTTTACAGTCCTCCACTACAATATATTTTGAAATGATTACCTTGCTCTGAGTCATTTGTGTCTTAATGCTCTCCATAGGTACCCATAAAATGAAAATGTAAGCCTCTTTTATTGGTGGCACTGCATCTTAATTGAAAATATTAAAGGCTATTGCTCTCCTACTGTTTTTTTTTCCTTTTTCTTTTCTTTCCTTTTTTTTTTTTTTTGCTTCTCCCGTCTCTGTTTAATTGGCTAATCATATGATTTTTTTTAATGAAATAATCATGAAAGAAAATATGAAGCTAATTTAAATTCAAACTGGATTTGGTGATATTTAAGTGATTATCCCAAAGTAGCAGAGGGTGTAAGAGGCAATAAACATCTGCTACGTTCATGACCATTGGCCTCGCTGTTTATGAGCTTGGGAGATATTTATTTCAAGAGACATGCTTCTCTTTGGGTTAGACTGTATTTTTTCCCCTTGTTTTATATTTATTTCCTCCCTTGTAAAATTTTAAAGGAAGAATTTTTTTTTTCCTTTTCCTCCTCTGTCAGTCCATCTCCTTTCTCTCCTTTCACGCTAACAGCAGAGTGAAATCCAGGTAAATGAGAAGCCTCTCCCAAGAAACCTTTCAGCCAGTAGGGATGGGTGGCTTAGCTGTTGCTCCTCTTGTGAACTGTGTGAACTACTCCAGGTTTATGGGCTGAAGAAGGTAATAGGAATCCTGTATTGTAGTTGGTTCATTGTCCAGCTGCCATTCAATTGTGTGTGTTGCATGTAATTGTTGAGCGAGGCTGTAACCTTTTCCTTTTCTCTTTCAGTCACATGCAATAAGCACCAGGGGCAAAGTTGGAGAACAAGTTGTAACTGAAAGATGCAGGCAGCTTTCTGGTTTTTGTCTTTTTTAGTGAAGGAAATAGAAAAGCAAAATAAAGCAGACTGTTTTTTGGGGATATTTGGAAAAGAATTCAGCTGTTTAGCTATGGAGACAGCAAGAGAGCTTCAAAGCAGTGCTTTTAGAAATAGGCAAGACATGTATTATTTGATCAACTTGTGTAGTCAATATTACTTTGAACATAGAAGTGCTTCTTCAGCTCTCAAACAGAATAAGACAATTTCCATGTCAATGTCCTTAGAAATTTAGGAGTTTGCTTTAGATGCTTCTCTGGGTATTCTTAATTTGAATGAATTCTATATTTATTTTAATAAATTTTCTGTCATGTTACTGAAATGCCATTGTGGCAGCAAGCTGCTGGTTGAGCATATGGTGACAAGGGGTTTTTAGGAAACTTCATCCAGAGGACTGGAATAGTTTCCAGGAATAACCTCTTGGTAATAAATACCTACAGTTTTATAATTTTAAATGTCAAGGGTAAATAACAGATTTTTTATCTGAGTAAATAACAGATTAAGTCCTGTGGTTTCCACATATAAAGAATATAGAGGATGCTGTGGCTCTTTTCTGTCAAGTCTCAAATGATATCAGCCTGATAACCTTTAGCTACCTTTGAAAAGAATCTCAGTCAAGAATACATAATGATTCTATGCTTTAACTCTTTTACATCTTGCATGAAATTTATAGTCTGGAGTGCATGCTGTATTAAATATACACAGTTCAGATTTCTCAATATTTTATCCCTGGTAAGGCTCTGCAACCGCCTGTACCACAGAGTAAATTTATCATGCAAAGAAAGAATCTGAAATTTTCCTGAAAGAAGTCGATTTTCCTTTTGCTGTAGATATGAAAATGAATGTTAGGTGTTCTGATATGGCTTATAGTAAATGTAACCGAGTCAATATGGAACCTGTAGTAAATATTATGATCTTCTGGCCACTTGGTATTTATTTGCTGAGCCTTTCTGGGTCAAGTTCCAGAATTCCAGCACGTCATCTTTCATGAACTCTGTTACTTCTTGGTTATTAGGAAAGAGCTGTTGTACACTAAAGTCAGGGCAGTTGAAAATTTGTGCCACTGTAGAGGGCCAACCAGGAAATTCTGAAGCAACATAAATATGTGAGATGGGGGTTGATGGTTCACAGACAACTTCTAAAAATATTCTTTTTAAAATTTTTATCTTTAACCTTGTCTGTTTGCTTTTACATTCTTTAGAAATAAGCATAAGGGAAAAAGCTGAAAAATATGCTGAAGTTGATACTGCAATATTGTCTATGAAAATTTTACTGCTTCAAATTCTAATAAGTCAGAAAGAATGAAAAGCTGCTAAACTCTGAACATCTAGAAATGAGAGTTTCACTTATTGACAACATTGAATATGGACAGAAAAACAAGGAAAGGGATGTGTCACAATGTGCTTGGTATTTTGCATGAAAATTTTGTGGTCTAATTCCTATGTTAAAAAAAATGAAATGCACATAATTACTCCAGATGAAGGAAGTGTTATTATTTTTAATTTACAAACTGGGAGAGCGAAGGCAGAGATCACATCCTCTAAAGTAACAAGAGACACTGTGGGATCCCTGCTTCAGTGTCCTGAATGCAGCACAAAGTGATTTCAACTCTTCTCTGAAGATTTTACTGCAAGAATGAACACTTACTTCTCCTCCCAAAAAAACCCCCAATCAAACAAACAAAAAAACGCCTAAAAAATAAAACAAAAAAACAAAAAAAAAAAAAAAAACCAAAATCAAAACCAGGCAATAGTTGGAATCATTTCATTTTGCAGAGAGAGATAAATCTAAATTCTGAAGTTGACCTCCATACTTAGTTTGTGAAGTTTTCTAGAACATGAAGAAATTAAAAAGTCAAAGTGCTAATATTGTTTCTTTCCCTTCCAGGTTTTCTTTCACTGTCTGTGTTTTCCAAAAGATTGATAGTAAAAATAAAATGCCATTATATAATATAATGATAAGTTTAATAAACATCTTCACAGAACACAGAGTGGCAGGCTGACATTGTGAGATGGATTTTGTTGGGAATCTGCTTATTTTTGTTGCTATTCTATAAGGTTTTTTCTTTGTTTATTTCTATGTGATTATTTCTCAAGGTACGGAACATCTCAAGACAGAATATCTTGGCTTTATAAGCTGAGGAGCAATTACTTTGCCCCACAAATTTACAACAGATTGAAACAGAATGTACCTTTGCAAAAGGAAAAAAAAAAATAAAGAAAGGAAAAAAAAGACACATTTTAGCTCCACTTACATGTAGCTCATGCAAACCTGAACTGCAGCTCCAGGGCACAACTCAAGATTTGATATTAAAGTGTTTCATTTGCAACTAATTATGCTCAGGATTAGATTTCACTGCTGCCTCGCTTAACAGTACAGTACCCTGATTTCAAACAACCTGATAGAGGTTTGTTGGCTTCTTTTTTTTTTTCCTCCCCTTCTCTCTCTTTTTCTCCCCCTTTCCTGCCCCTTAGAACCATCTCTGCCTTCATCAAAACAATTCCATTTGTACTTATGAAAGCATTACAGCCAGTAAGCAGAGAGTACAGAATAAGCTTAACCATTGTGGCCCTTTTCCCATCTGAATATCACGAATCTTGTATCTCACCATGGTGTAAGGTCTCTGATTACATCAACCTCTCCAAATTATGCTGAAATGGAGGCCATTCAATTTGCTACAATCAGTAACTTTCGAAAGAGCCCTGCATAATTGATTTCACAGTAATATAGGCACAGGTGAATGAGTTCCTCAGCCTCGTTTATACAGTGTTTTCTTTCATTCCAAAGTGCACTATTCAATAGAAATCACATTTTTTTCCCAACAGTTGGCAGGTAAGGCTTTTGTCATATACAAAGTTGTGAGACAGAAAGAGAGAGCAGGGGGGAAAAATAGTGTAGAAACATGAAAATTGAAATGAATGCCCTGGGTGAAATACTAAATGCAGACATGTCTTGGGTGAAATGACTTCTCTTTTCTATGTGTCTGATCAAGGTGGGGAATGACAGACGGGATACAAAAATACAGGATACAAAAATCTGTTGAAATTTAAATGTGGTCCACAAGTGTAATTTTTTTTGTGGGAAGTGTGTGGGATGGGGTGTGCACACAAATTCAATGCTGGACATTCATTCAGAGTGGAAAATATCTGGGCTTATCAAATAAAGAGGCTATGGATGCCAATGGTGGTGTTGGAATTAGAGAAAAGCTTTGGAAGCTGGGTAAATGCTGTGCCCAGGGACAATAAAAATGGGCAACTGCCTAAGCACCAGCATGTGGCATCATCTCTTGTCATTTACTGCCTTTGAATGGAGCCAGTCACACCAAAACAAGGGTAACAGTGGAAAACAAACAAACAAACAAACAAATGGATAGATAGATAGATAGATAGATAGATAGATAGATAGATAGATAGATGGATAGACAGATAGATAGACAGACAGACAGACCCAGGTATCAAATGAGAAGCATTAAATTATTGGGATAGGGAAGACTGTTTAGGCTGTTGAAAATAAAATTAAAGTAAAGCCCCAATGGATATTTGCAATATAGAGACAAGGTAGGAAAATTAGACCAGAGTTTATAAATTAAAAAAAAAAAAGTGTCCTTTAAATTGAGAGAAAAACAACGAGGACATCTCCAAAAACAATCAATCCCATCTGCAACAGAGTTCATTTCAAATAATGATTTTGAGCTGTCAGTCTATACTGATTCCAGAAGAAGCCCAGCTAATCAAGTCAGACTTGAGCTGAGTATATCTAAATTTAAGCAAGAGGGATCCTGTTCTGAAGTGGATCCTATGGTGAGTTTGGTGTGGTTTATACAGAAGAAAACATGGGAGTGGTGATACCAAAGTCAAACCAACAGATTAGGTTTCCTTTCCTCTGCATCTGTTGTATTCTTGCTCTCCCAATGTTCAGAGATCAACTGCAGGATTTATTGTTCTCATGAGAAGTGTGTGTGTAACAGAGTTTAGTGCGTGTGTGTATGGATGTGTGTGTGTACAAATTCACTGCAAAAACAAAGCTGTCTCTGAGCAGCCCCTTTCTAGGAAGGATGAAGCTGCCTCTGTACATTAGTACTCCCTTTTCTGAAGAATTAGAGGGTTTATGTGCTTTGTGCCATAGTTTGATTATAAAACACTGAGGAAACATGTTCACTCTATTCAAATCTAAGAAGCACTAAAGTTTATGCTGCTTAAATCACTTCTAAATCTCAGCTATTTGGATCTCTGAATTTTATGATAATATTAACAGAGCTTCTGGTGAATCCCATTAATTTTTTTTTGTATTGTTTAATTTTACATGAGTAAATATAATTACTCCTTTTGTCAGAAGTTCTAATACCAATTTATAATTCATGGAGTTAATTATGTTAACGAGGAGGTAATCATTTCTCAACTCTCTCCCCTGTAATTTTAAAGGATTTTGATTTTTTCCCCTCTCTCATTCTCACCTCTCCTTTTACAATTTCTCTTCCAGCCATGAAGTGGGAGCATACACAATTCATCTGTGATATAATTATTTACCATGGCAACAGTTTGTGAATGGGATTGTGAAGTTGCAAATAACTAAAAAGAAGCTTAAGTAAAACAGGCTGAAAAAATTATCCCTTTCAAAACAAGTGAAGAGTCCTTTGAGGTCAGGAAAGCTTTTGTCACTCCAGTATGTTAAAACAGGAGGAGGTGAAAAGCCTAGCTTTGGGGCTTTTTCTTCCTCCTCTGACAAAACCTTTGGTAAAATCTGGTGAACAAATGAAGATAAGTACTTCACATGTGTTTGTGTATGTGCAAATTTGTTTTGGGAAGCGTCTGTGTGACTGACAATAAAGAACATTTCAACAAACTTGCAATGACAAGCCCTGAATCTGACAGTGCCTAGCAAGAATAAGAAAAGTTTTGAAAGATCTAATATTGAAAAATTATGGAAAGGAGAGTCATACTTGTGGTGGTTGATTTTTCTTGTTACATTTCTCAGATTAACAGGCAGCTCAAATTCATACTGATATGCAAGACTCTAATTTTAGAGTCTTAGAAGCAGATAGACAAAATCTATTGAAAACTGGTGCCATAATCTTTGTATTTTGCTTGAGGCTGCTGTTGACAAATCTTTCCCTAACACCCATCCTATTCAATAATCTATTGAATATTTTACTACTGCTGCTTCAGAATCAAAGAAATCTATTGATGTTCTTCAAAGGCACACCGAGCTGCATATGAAAAGGAAACAATAACAACAAAAAACTCCTCCAGATGCACCATGATTTACAGTTTACTCACCTGGGAGTAGAGTTAGGTGCCATATTTATCCTAACTCACAGTCATAATGATTGAAGAATCAAAATATTTCAGAGGAATAGATTAAAAAGCCATCAATGGAATTCATTGAATGTTAATTAACCTAGCAACTCTTTGAAAAGTCTCCTTCCCAGTTGGTGCCATGAAGGGGGATTTTGTAAGATCTCTGTCCAGCTGCCTCTAAGATCAGCCCTGATCTACCTCTGTCCTGAAGAAATGTCCCACTTTCCATGACAGGTAAGCTGAGTCCCAAACAATAAATTATTTTCATTGACACCAGTGGAGCTAGGATCGCAGCCAGTGAATTAATATGGAAAGAAGGTTGCACAGAAAAACACTGTTTTGCTCTGGAAATGAAGAAATATGATATTTGTGTGACAATTACTGTTTTTAAACATCACTCCTCACTAGGACCCTTGCAGAACCTTCTTCTACAGAACAGCAGCAAAGGAGAAAGAACATGGATTATAACTGCCCTGTCTGCTCAGAAAACATCTGGAAACAATCCTGAACAACCTTAGACAGAGGAAAAACATACCATCCCCTGGTGAAGGAGCATGTGATGCTTGGTCTCCCACAGCTTTGCGGCATGTTGTTGGGCTTTCTGACAAGAGATGAGCTCTGACTGAAGGTTTTACTGAAAAGGAGGCATTAATAAAATTTGGATATCAGCACTGGTTTTCTCTTTTCTCCCAACAGCTGAATTTGCATGGTTTCTCCTCCCTTAAAGGGCCAAACAGTGCATTCTGAGTTCCTTTATTACCCTATTTTATAAAAGTTATATCCCGAATATTTTATTCTCACTACATCAGGTAACTGAAAAGAGATTATTAAGAGGTGGATGAGTAGACAAATAGACAAATGTGCATTTATAAAAAATATTTTCAGTTAAATTTGAATTTAATTTTTTTTTATTGCATGGCATCTTTGTTATCTTTGCAGGTTTTTTTAGCAGGGGTTGGATTTGTTTGTTTGTTTATTTGTTTGTTTTTCTCCTAACAACAGAATTCCCTTATATTTTTTTTTTCTTGAAGTGTCACCTAAGTCGGACATAAAACTTGAGATTTTTGTTTCATCTGTGTCCAGGGCAAATTTAGGGACTTTCATGGGTTAGAGTGGAAGTAATTACACAATGGAAATTTTCCAGATTCCAGTAAGAAGGGCTTGACAGTCAGATTTAATGTTATGTTTAGTTTGCAAAGGTGCAGGGAGGCACCTAATAGGATTTTCAGAAACACATAACCACATTTGGACAGAAAATGAAATTATGAACCTAACTCTTCTAATTGTTTTTCTAGATCAACTTCATATGCTTATTTTCATGTTTTGATACATTGTTAGAAAAACATCTATTTCTACCGGTGAAATATTCCTGGGTTTCAAGCAATAATTCTGAGCACAATGAATTACATTTTTTGTGTGTGTGGGTAGAAGGTGCTTTTTCCGAGGATGCAAAAGGTGTTTGTGTACTGTTGGGCATAAAATTTTATAAGTATGTACTGACATTCATTTATACTCATGGAACAGACACTGAAGAAACAAGAAATCAATTACTTATAAGTTTCCATGCAGAAATAAAAGGGAAAACAAACAAACAAACAAAAATTCCTTCCAAGACAGAAGAAAATGTCTTGCTAAGTTATTGCTTTGTGCCTCAGATTATGTTGATTTTGGTAATTCACTGTTGTGTGAGTGAACAAACTAGCTTCATTATAAAAGAAGAATGTGCATGTGTGTTCATGAGTCTTGCAGACTCAGTGTCAAAGAAAATGTGAAAGTTTACATGGCTTTCAGCAGTTTGCTGTGAAGCTATCCACAGGAAGAAATGATAGCACATGTCCAGCTAAAGAAAAGAGGTACAGCATTCAAATATCACTATCAATACTATTTAATTGTTGTATGTATATGAGAAAAAAATAACAAGCCTCTATAAACAAAATAAAGAAAACTTGCCTTGGAAAGGACACCTCATTGCCATAAAAAAAAAAAAAAAAAAAAAAAAAAAAAGAAGAAAAAAGGAAGAATTCTTCTATTCTTTTCCATGGCTTGGGGTTCTGTTCCATATACCAGCAGGACATCAGACACAGTTTTCTGACACATGGACAATGCTTTTTCATTTCCATTTCCAAAAATATCAGATTTATATTGCAAAGCAATGCAGATTTTAAGATAGGAAGAAAAGATTCCCCAAAGATAAAGGTTCTTTATCTTGAAGTTAATAAGAAAAGTAGCAATAAGAAGGACATTTTCTGCAAGGGCACAAGACAAGAGGGAAGATCTTGAGAAGTATTTATGTGATGCATTTCTTTTTCAGTCGTGGCAAGACAACTGATATTTTGAGCTTCAGTTTTTGTTCATGGGCCTTCATATCTATTTGAGTTGCTTTTTTGTTTGTTTTTTTTTTTTGTTGTTTTTTTTTTCTTGTTTTGTTTTGTTATTTTTAAATATTGGGACCAAGAGAAAAGTTTTTCACATACCTTCTTTATCATTTATTTGGAACTTCCATATATTTGAGCTAATGCTTTTAGAAACTTCATATGGATATTTTATAATAAATGTAGACTCCTTTTCATGGTGGCTTCTCTAATGAGTCATTCCTCCTTCCGTTATTTCTCATTTAACTCACTCGAGGGTCATAAAGGGATCAAATCTATCGCTGTGGATGTTTCTAGGACTTCAGGCAGCTCTTTAAGCTCAGTACTTCCTGCTCTTTAATGTGTATTGCCCATCATTACAAGCTTTGAAACATACACTACTTGCCTTTACTACCATACGTGGAAAGCTCTGGAAAAAAAAAAAAAACTTTATTATTTACGTCTTTAACAAATGTGGATTTCACTTGCAGAGGTGTTAAGTTCTAGATGTTAATACTGGGGCAAAAACAGTACAACAAGCAAAATCCAGGCTCATCAGTTTCTAGTATCCTTTCTACCTCGTAGTCTCAAACATTTGAACAGTCTTGTGTTTGATGGAGAAAATTTTCCCAACCTGTCCCAGTATTTAATCCAAGTTGCTTGGGCCAAAGCTCTTTCCTTCTCAAACCTTGCAAATTCATACCCGCAAAGATGGGCACTGTGACACCTAAAGTGTTAATCAGATGTGTTTCTCATAAGAAATCTTTCCTCATATCATTTAAGTGTGATGGATGGATAGATAGATAGATAGATAGATAGATAGATAGATAGATAGATAGATAGATAGAAATAGATAGATTAGATGGATAGATAGATAGATAGATAGATAGATAGATACATAGATAGATAGATAGATACATAGATACATAGATAGAGAGATAGATATGCAGAACACATCACACAATGGAAATAACCCCAAATGCAATAATAACACACCAGGCCTTAAAGTAAAGTTTAAATCCATTTCTTTGCCTTGGCTGTTTGCTTAAGTGAATTTGACCTTCCCTTCCCTCTGTCTAAAATCTTCCTGTTACTCATGTTGTTATAGATTGTGGCCTCTGTGTAGCATTTTCCTCTTCCTTATATCATGGCAACAAGCAAGTTAACAATCGATGGGTAACGCAAAAATGTCCTTTCTTCAGTGGCAGTGGATTTTTGAAAAGCATTGTTGAGAAAAAATTTCTTCCTTATCACTTTTACAGACAATTTTTACTAAAAATAAAACAAAAAAACCCCAAAGATTTGACTGCTGCATTAGTCATTGAAGATGAAGAAGAAAAGTTTACTCTCCTTTAATTTGCAGCCAGTGATGAACAACAAATCCGGACCAACCTTTCTCTTCAAAAGGCAAAATAAAATCCAAATAATACAGCCTCCAAATAATTATCAGGAGTCTGGCTGTACTGTCAGAGAGCAATATACAAGATTCAATTTTAACTAGAGATTACAGCCCAGCAACCTTGTAGCCCTGAGTGTCAGTCATGTCACCTTCTCCTGTCAGGAAGTGTGTCAGGACTCAAATGGGCAGGGTGAGCTGGAGGCAGTGCGTTACCTCACCAGGGGCTGTGTCTCCTGTATTCAAACTAGTCAGAGGATAAAAAAAAATCTGAGAAGTTTCCTGGCCCACTCATCGTCCTCTTCCTCTTCCAAGTGGAAGCAAGCAGAGCCACTTCCCAGTGGGATGTTCCCTGGTGCAGCCTTTCTGTGACACCCAGGACTGTGACAAGGCTTTGCTCTGCTCCTCAGACCAGGGCAGGATGAACTGAACATTCCAGGGGCACATTCTGGTGCCTGATTTCCAGGGATCATCTTCCCTTGGTTTTTTTTTGGGTGAAACACAAAGGCAGTTCAGTGTTTCCCTGGAAGTTGGGGTTGCTGTGTCATTCACAGGAGTAATGAGTGCTGATTGTTTTTTTCATGCTGACGGTTTAGGCAGTGATTTCTGACTGGTTCCCTACAGGAAAATTTGGCAGTGTGGTGTCTGTCACGGCCAGTGTGTGCACTCACAGGTCCCAG